AATAGCTATGAGCCTTCAAGATTCAGGAATAGAAATTCTGAATTCCTAGAAATTCTCAGAAGTTCCTCAAATCATGTTATTACATGGTTTTTCCTATCATTTTAGTTACATAATTTTAAGCAATAAGTGTCCATAATAATAATAAATCATTTCTTTAATAATAGTGGGTCATCAGCAATCCCACTTTTGGGCATTTACCCAAATGTTTACAAACAAGACCACACTAAAGCTACCAGCACAACTATGTTTATTGCAGCATTATTTACCATAGCTAAGATATGGAACCAACTCAGATGCCCCTCAGTAGATGAATGGATCAAGAAAATGTGGTATATATACACAATGGAATTCTATGCCTCCATCAGAAAGAATGACATTGCCCCATTTGTTAGGAAATGGAAAAACTTGGAAAAAATCATATTAAGTGAAGTAAGCCAGGCCCAAAGAAACATAGGTCCCATGGTTTCCCTTATTTGTAATATCTAGTATATGTATGAGTCAAGCGGAAAAGGTCAGATAATGTGATGTTAGGAAAATGAACCCTTAGATGTGTATTTTAATGTTTTTTTCTTTCATGCATGTGTTTCTGACGCATTTATAAGATTATCTCTTTGTTGCTTTGTATGTCCCTCCCCACAGTATAACCCCTGCTTTCACTATATTTGATGTCAGTATAACTTGTGGAGGAGATGGGGAAAAACATGTCATTTAAGGATACAGGTGGACCTGTTGCAACAATGAGAAGTACAAGTTGTCATGTTGAAAACGAGCTTTACAATGTTGGTGGGGGGGGGGGAGAATTGGGGGGGGGGAGGCTGGGAAGGGATGTGAAGGGTAAACAAAGGAGGAAGCTGCAATGCTTGATAAGAAATGTACGCATTATCCTGCCCATGTAATTGTAACCCCTCTGTACAGTGTGTTCACAAAAAAAAATTAAAAAAAAATAATAACAGTTGGTCATTTTTTTAGTGGTAGAATTAGTACTGAAATTTTTATGGGTTTTCTTTTTTAAAACCTACATCATTGCTAGATGTTGGTAGTTACATCTGTAATCCTAGCTACTCAGGAGGTTGAAATGGGGCAGTCAAGATTCAAAGCCAGCCCAGGCAGAAAAACTGGCAAGATTCCCTCCAAAATAACCAGCATAAAACTGAGCTGAAAGTGTGGCCCAAATGGTAAACCATAGCCATGAACAAAAAAGCTGATGGGAGAGGGTGAGGTCCTGAGTTCAACCCCTACTATTAGCACAAAACAAATCAGTATCATAAATAAAGCATTTGTTATTATTATTACTTACTACTATTAAGCAGTATATGTGTGTTAATCAGCTTCTATTACTATAACAAATATCTGGGATCATCAACCCATAAAGTTTTATATTGGCTCATAGTTTTAGAGGCTTCTGGCCTAGGACTCTACCACGTGAGCCACAGCTCTACTTCTGGCTTTCTCTGCTTATGTGGTGCCGAAGAATCGAATCCAGGGCCTCGTGCATGCAAGGCAAACACTCTACCACTGAGCCATCTTCCCAGCTCCGTCTGCTTAGATCTTATTGCCCATTTTTAAATTGGAATGTTTGTTTTCTTGCTGTTGTTTGAGTTCCTTGTTTCTTCGGATTTTAGCCTCACATCAGGTACATGGTTTGTAAATATTTTCTCCCAATCTGTGGAATGTCTTCACATTTTTATTATTTCCTTTGCAAGGCAAAGGCTTTTTGCTTTATCAATCTTTCTCTCCCTCTTCTTTTTTCCTTCCTTCTTAATCCTTCCTTCCTTCTTTCCTTCCTTCCTTCCTTCCTTCCTTCCTTTCTTTGGCATTTTCAATAATATCCAAAAAAATTAGGGTTATCTTAGAACATTTTCCTTTTTTTCTCATCTAGTACTTCTGCAATTTCAAGAATTGTATTTTAAGTCATTACTTCATTTTTTTAGTTAACCTATATATAAGATGTGAGATAATGGCACAGTTTCATGCTGTAATGAGTCTCTAGTTTTCTCAACACCAGCTATTAAAGAGGTTATCCATTCTCTGTTGTGTGTTCTTGGCTCTCTGTCAAAAATCAATTGAGTATATATGTTTGGTTCTTTTTTGGCTCTCTCTCTTCTGTTTCATTGTGCAGTGTATCTATTTTATGCTAGTGTTATGCTTTTGTAATAGACATTGAAGCCAGGTAATAACATGAAAATAGTCACCATGGTGGTGTGTATACCTGTAATCCCAACTACTTGGTAGGCAGAGACAGAAAGATCATGGTTTGAGATTAGCCAGGAAAAAGTTAGCATAAGACTCGACCTGAAAATCAAACTAAAAATACTTGGGATGTGGTGCAAGTGGTAAAGACCTTCATGTACAAGACCCTGAAGTTCAAACCACAATATCACAAACAACAACAAAAGAAAAAAACACCTTACTATAGGTAGTTAATATGCTATGGTTTAGCAATTCAACTCTAATTCAGATCATTTGATTTTTATATGTGTTTTGTTAGTTCAGATTGTAAATCAGTTACTCATTTCATAGTGGAATGAACTACAAAAGCACACCTCTTTTCTTTGCATTTCCTACCAAATTACTCACAAAGCCTGATTTGCGATGTGCAGTGTATGCAAACACTGAAATGGCAGCAAACATGGGGGAGATTCATATATGACACTCAGATCTTCCAACAAGTTTGGTAAAGTCACCATGAATCACAGGTTGAAACCAAATTTCAAGTATAGACTTAACTAATGGGATTTCACTAATGGGATTTTAAGTTTTGTAAGAATGATTTACATTAGTAGCAGACACACATTTAGGGTACCCAAACAGCTACAAGCAGAGCTGTAGCCCTGTAGTTCCTGTCCTAATGTGTTTGCTTCTAACTGTCCTCAGCGCACTCTGCTCTTCCTTTTTCATGACAGCCATAGAATCCTTTGAGTCAGTCATGTCCTTATGATCTCCAGGGAGAATTAGAAAACTTCTTCCCATTTTCCCCATTTTACTAATTTTTCTTAGGATTAGAATTCAGAATTATTCTTTTTTTCCTTGAAGAATGATTGGAATTCTAATTGAAACCATGTCCATTAGGAGAAAGGAACATATTTTTCTTGCAAGAGAAATTTCTTTAGCAATTTTATGCATTCGAGACTGTGTGCATGCAGTGGGCCTTTATAAAATTCTCAAAAACATGTGCACACAAGCTATTTTTGCATGCTACATTGAGGTCAGTCTCAAAGCATGGAGATGGTTCTTTGCAGTCTGAGAGTCACAAAAGTATCTTTGAATAGGCAAACTGACTGAAAAATGCTCTGACTAATTTTACCAAAGTTATAGAAAAATCATGAAAAAGATTTTTTAATTTAGATTTGGTTCTATTATTATTACCATAATTATTATCTTTAAGTCATTGTACAGAGTCATTGCACAACAAACCAGTTTAAGAATACAAAGCATCTTCATTGATGCCATTCCTTTTATCACTCTCCCTCTTCCTTCTCAACTCAATTCCACTCTCAATTTTCTTAATGTTGTAGGATATGCACTGCATATTATAACTGCATTCATTTTGTTGGACTGTCAGTTTTTCTAAGGAATTACACCATTTGATTTCTCCCCTGAAAATACCATATTTTGATACATACATGTATATACATTTGCATACAATCCCACTGTGTGTTTACTTTTACATTTATAACTTAGTTCTAGCTTATATATATATATGAGAGAAAAACATGGCATCTTTTGTCTCCTTAAGCCTAGTTACTTCAATTAACATAATATTTTCAGGTCCATCCATTTCTTTGCAAATGATGTCCTTAAAGAAGTACTTCTGCACTGCAGCTTTTCACAAGCCTAGGTGATGCTGACATCTGCTATCAGATCACAGAAATGAATATTAATCTAAGTTTTGGCAAGCTATACTTTCTTGTCCTTCCCACTATCCAAGTGAATACTTTGAATTCTACCATTTATGGATCAGTTATCATGCAAAATATTTTCATCCATGCTGCCTGACTGAAGACAGAACTATATGTGGACCAACATATATATCTGAAGCTTCTACAATGTATCAGACACCATGCTACATGTTTCAAATGGATTTTTTCAATTTTTAAAATAATCTACAGTACAAGGCTCATTCATTTCACTCCATAGGTTGAAGAAAGTAGGAGTCAAAACCATAAATTTGCTGGGTACTGGTAGTTTATGCCTGTAATCCTAGTTACTGGAGAGGCTGAGATCTGAGGATCATGGTTCAAAGCCAGCCCAAGGAGACAAATCTATGAGACTTTTATCTCCAATTAACCAGCAAAACACCAAAAGTGGAACTATAGCTTAAGTGGTAGAATACCAGCTCTGAGAGAAAAAGCCAAGAAAAAGCAAGAGGCCCTGAGTTCATTACCAGCACAGATACAAATAACCAAACCAAACCAAACCAAAACATTAACTTTGCAACAAATGTAAGTGCTATAAGTTAAAATTATCCTAAGTCCAGCATCCAAAATCCATGCTCTTTCCATCACATGATACCGTGAATCATAAAATGGTGGCACAACACATGTTAGGAGAAAGGGCTGGTACCAGGAAGCCTCGCTGCTCTATGAAGACCACTCCCTATAAGACCTTTCCCTTTGCCCCTCAGTGAACAAAGAAGCTGGATGCTGGCAGCTCACAATTGTAATTCTAACTACTCAGGAGGCTGAGATCCAAGGATCACTGAAGCCAGCCCAGACAGGAAAGTCCATGAGACTCTTAACTCCAATTAATCACCAGAAAACTGCAAGTGATGCTATGGATCAAAGTGGTAGAGCATTAGGCTTCAGCAAAAAGCTCAGGGACAGTGCCCAGTCCCTGAGTTCAAGCCCCATGACTGACAAAAATAAAAAGATGACTTATTAGTATTTGAAAGTGACAGTTAATAAACAATACAAAAATTATGTATAGATATATACCTATATGTATATATATTGAGGAAAGGACTCAGATAAACACTGTACAAAACAAGAAGTCTTTCTTACCTTTAGGTATTTCACCAACTTCTGAATTTGCCAGTATTCTGATGGCAAATCTGCATTGGCTTCCTGGCGATGATCGGTTGCTTCTTCATCTTCCTCGCTCTCTGAGGAGCTCTCACTGATAGTCTCCTCAATCTTTTCAACGCTCTTGCTGAGAACAAGAAATCCCCACATAAAATCTGCAGCCTGGACATGTTTGGGACGGCTGTGTTGCTGTGACACATATGTGAGCAACAGACAAGCTACAGAGACTTTCTGTGTTCCACAAGAGGTCTACAAGGGAGTCAAAGTGTCTGTAACTCATTCTGTTTGATAACACCAACACTAGTAAGTTATAAGAAGTCATGTTTAAATTAAATAATCTTAGAACATAAGCCAGAAATGGCTATACAAAAAGAGGTGGGGGGGAACACAGAAACCGTAGCCAAGTTAAAGTAAAATTCTAGAAAGTATCCAAGAATTCCACAGAAATATAGGGACAAAGCAAAAAAAAGAGAAACAGAAGAAATTTAAAAACAATTGTGAAATAGTAGGCTTAGGCCTTAAAATATAAATAATTACCTTAAAGGTAAATGACCTGAATATGCCAATTCAAAAGAGCTTTGATGAAGTGGATTTAAAAAGAGAGGAGAGGACTGAAAATGTAGTTCAAGTGGTAGAATGGCTGCCTAGCAATCACGAGGCCCTGAGTTAGACCCCATACAGTTAAAAAATAAATTCGTTAATAAACTAAAATAAAATTTATATGTTAAAAAAAAGAGATAGGAACCAACTCTATGAATTTATACTCAGACAAAAACCTGCATATGATTGTTCATGGAAGCTTTATTTCAAATAAGGCCAGGCACCAGTGGCCTGTAATCCTAACTACTCAGGAGACAGAGGATCACAGTTCAAAGCCAGCTCCTTATCTCAAATTAACTATCAACAAAGCTGCAAGTGGAGCTGTGATTCACGTGGTAGAGCTTTGAGCAGAAAAAGCTCCGGGACATTATTCGGGGCCTGTGTTCATGCCCTAGGACTAGCACAAAAGAAGAGAAGAGAAGCGAAGGGAAGGGAAGCTTAGGGAAGGGGAAGGGGAAGGGAAGGGGAAGGGGAAGGGGAAGGGAAAGGGAAGGGGAAGGGAAGGGAAGGGAAAGGAAAACAAGAACAGAAACAGCAAACAGCAAAAATGTCTTTCTATTGAGGAATGACTACATCAATTACCATCTACCCATTCCATGGAATTGTAGTCTGCAATAAAAAGAGCTAGGTATTGATCCATACAATATTTGGATAAATCCCAAGATATTATGGTGATGAAAAATGTATGGTACTATTTATATGATGTTCTCAAAGTGACAAAATTATAGACATGGAAAAATGATTAGCAGTTGCTGGGAGTTAGGAATGGCTTAGTAAAAGCAGATAAGTTTGTTGATAAAGGGTTATCATCACCAGGCACCTGGTGGTTCTCCCCTGTAATCCTAGCTACTCAGGAGGCTGATATCTGTGGATAACAGTTCAAAACTAGCCCAGGCAGGAAAAGCCATGCAACTCTTATCTCCAATTAACCATCTAAAAACTGGAAATAGAGCTCAAAGTGGTAGAGTGGTAGAGTGCTACCTTGAGCAAAAAAGCTCAAAGACAGTGCCCAGGCCCTCACTTCAAGCCTCACAACTAGGGTAAAAAAAAAAAAAAGAGGAGATAACATGAGGAAGTTCCATTCGGTGATGTTCATTATACAAATCTACCCATGTGGTAAAAGATGTATGCATTGTACCAAAGTTAATCTCCATGCCCTTGTACCATAGTTATGTAGACATAACCTTTTGGGAAACTGAGTGATGGATATGAGACCACTCTTGCACTCTCCCTACAAATTACTATCGATCCATAATTATTTCAAATACAAAGTTCAAAAAGATATTAAAGTGAGTAATTTATTACAGTGATCCATAAAATAAAAGTAACACAAATGAAATAGTACCTAAGCTCCCCCCCCCAACTATCTACACTTTGTATTGTGGGATCACTGTCATTTCTTTTTTCTTTTCTTTTCTTTTCTTTTTTTTTTCTTTTTGCTTATGTGGTGCTGAGGAATCGAACCCAGGGCCTCATGCATGCAAGGCAAGCATTCTTACCACTGAGCCACCTTCCCAGCCCCGATCACTGTCATTTCTACCACTACCACCATGAAACTCTAATAAAGACGGCCAACAGATTCTATCACTTTTTGTTGACACGACAATCAAGTAAGGTATTTGCTACTTGGTCTCATATTTATTGTTTTAACAAACAATCGTATATGCCTCTTTAGAATTGTAAGAATCTTTCATGGTGAGCAAGTGGAGGCTCAGACAGATGACTCCACTTTGGTAGTCATGACATCATGACTCTTCTGAGGCAATAGATTAGCTTGGCATGCCCTATTTCCAATATGCTTCCTGATGAACAAGAGGAGCTGCGGACAGATGACAGCACTTCTGTAGGTTATGACCATTCGGAGATAATGGATCAGCATGGAGTTCCATATTTCTTTTCTAACTTACTTCTCTGATCTTTGTATGAAATGCATTTCTTTTCCTAGAGTCAACTAATTACCCTCAATCCCTTCATTGCAAGTAATCTTACATTAGAAAGCTGTCTTGTAAATATATTGAAAGATATTCACTATTATCATGTAATTGCTATGGTATAATTAGCCCATTGCTCAAGGGTGGCTTGACAGCAGAAACATACCGAAGTAGTTGTGGTCTTCCATGTGAAATGGATGCCCTAGGCTTTCCATGTTTTTCCTCTGTACTGTCTTTTAAAGAGCTTCTGTGCCTAATAAAAATAAACAAATAGCACATATTTGTATGTAAATCTTATGCATGTACATAAAGTGTTATTTATTACTTTATACCAATATATAAGAAATAATATAGGGAAATGGATACAAATGGTCCGTCATCTGGGTTTTCCTGACATAGAGAAGAGTGAGCTCTAGCCTTACACTTGAGATGCCCTTCTATTCTCCAAATACAGCTATGTATATCATGTATTGAAAAAACACTTTGTCCAGTACTTCCTTTCAATGGGAGCAGGCCTTCACAAGTTGCTATTGAGTGAGCTCTTCATCGTGTCTATTCTGAGTGCTTACTTCTTTTTCCATTACAGTTGATTATGGTTTCTTCTTTTCCCCAGCGAGCACCTAGTTTCCAGGTACTGTGAGGATTACCACAGTCTTTAGTACACACTCAGCCCTCATTAAATATTCATACTGGAAATGCATAATTGAAAGCACAAGTAGGCAGAAAAAAAGCAGTATTTTAATTCACATCCTGGTTAGCAGAGTGATCTAGAGGCTGATCATTGTCAGTCTCTTTCTTATAAGTCACAAAGATCGAACAACAAAATCAATGAGAATGGGAAAAGCACCTTCTCTATCCACAGCTCTTCTTCCTGACAGCTCACTAAAATTAGTTCTAAAGTGGAATTAGCCTGTGAGTCTCAGAATTCCTGCAGGTGAGGCTCTCTATGTGACCAACTAGGGTTAGTTACAACTCCAACCATAAAACATTAAATATAGCTGGGAGTTAAGTGCCAGTGGCACACATCTGTAATCCCAGCTACTCAGGAGGCTGAGATTTGAGGAGTAAGGTACACAAAGCCATCCCAGTCAGGAAAGTCTGTGAGACTCTCATCTCCAATTAACCACCCAAGAAACCAGAAGTGGGGGTGTGGCTCAAGTTCTAGATCTCTAGCTCTGAGCACAAGCTCAAGGACAGAACCCCCGGGCCCTGGGTTCAAGCCCCAGGACTCCTTCTTCCCCTGTAAAAAAATATAAACTAAACTCATAAGCTCCTGGCCAAGTTTTAAAAATTGCTTGCTATAGTTTGGATCTAGAGTATTCTTCCAAAGGCCCAAATGTTAAATGTTTGATCTGTGAGGGATCATTATTAGAAGTCTTTAGGTCACCAGAATTGTGCCTTCACCCAAGTGCTAGAAACATGGCCCTCTCCTCTTCTCTGTTGTGCTTCCTGGTAATGAAGCAAGCAATTCTGAGTCCACCATGTACTCACTCCCATTGACATCTGACATCACCCACAACTGATTCTCACACCTCCTACCTCTGACATCTGACACCTCTCACCACTGACTGATACCTCCCACCTCTGACATCTGACATGTCCCTCCACTGACTGACATCTCCCACCTCTGACATCTGACATGTCTCTCCACTGACTGACACCTCCCACCACTGACTGATACCTCCCACCTCTGCTATCTCACACCTTTTGCCTCTGATATGACACCTCCCACCATGGACATATGCCCCTTCCCACCAATGACTGACTCCTCCCACCTCTGACATGTGACACCTCCCACCACTGACATCTGACACCTCCCACCCCCCCTGCCATCTGACCCTCCCAGCACCCATATCTGATACCTCTCACCAGTGACTGATACCTTCCACCTCTGACATGTGATACCTCCCGTAACTAATATCTGACACCTCCCACCAGGGGCCTAGACACAAGGTACTGATTATGGATTGATATTTATAAAACTGTGTTCCATAAGAACTGTTTCTATATTTTCCATTTTATATTGTCTTTTTGTTTGTTTTGTTTTGCTTTGTTTTGTTTGGTCATGGGGCTTGAACTCTGGGCCTGGGTGCTGTCCCTCAGCTCTTCAGCTCAAGGCTAGCACTCTACCACTTGAGCCACAGTGCCACTTCCAGTTTTCTGGTAGTTTATTGGAGATAAGAGTCTTATGGACTCTCCTGCCTGGGCTGGCTTTGAACTACGATCCTCAGATATCAGCCTCCTGAGTAGCTAGGATTACAGGTGTGAGCCACTGGCGCCCAGCTTATTTTATATTTTCTATGTGTATCATCTTGTCATAATCACAGAAAGCTAAATGGACAGCATTCTAACAGAAAATGGTCTAGTTGCTTCTAACTGCCTTTCATGTGACTAGCTCCAGCTCTTAATCTTTGTTTTGGCACCTTTTTACAAAAGCCTAAAAAGAGCAAGACATTTATAGTTCATCATTCATAAACTCATGGGCCTGTCAATATTGTGGAGACTACCTTTTCTATAGTAGGAAAATTGTGCTGATGGAGCTCTGCATAGGAGCTATCACAAAATACCTTTCTTATAGCCATGTACTTCAGGTGTTGCTGTTGACCTTACCATGATATTTATGTTAGCCAAAATGTTGTTACCACATAAAATGTGGTAAAATGAATGTATTGTATACGACCCATAATTACTCTGTGCCTTATATTTCAATAGTACTGTAATACAAACTTCTTTTGTGAAGTACTTTTAGCTTGTTAATGCTTTAAATATACATACAAAAAGATTCTGTTGTTAGCTTTGAAACTACACAATATCCTAATATAAATTTATAAAAATAAAAAATGAGTATTCAGCTGGGAATATGGCTCAGTGGTACAGTGTTTGCCTAGCATGCATGAAGCCCTGGGTTCAATTCCTCAGCACACATAAATAGAAAAAGCCAGAAGTGGCACTGTAGCTCAAGTGGTAGAGTACTAGCCTTGAGCAAAAGCAGCTGAAGGACAGCACCCAGGCTCTGAGTTCAAGCCCCAGGACTGGCAAAAAGAAAGAAGAAGGAAGGAAGGAAGGAAGGAAGGAAGGAAGGAAGGAAGGAAGGAAGGAAGGAAGGAAGGAAGGAAGGAAGGAAGAAAGAAAGAAAGGAAGGAAGGAAGGGAGGGAGGGAGGGAGGGAGGGAGGGAGGAAGGGAAGGAGGGAGGGAGGGAGGGAGAGAAAGAGAGGAAGGAAGGAAGGAAGAAAGAGAAAGGAAGAAAGGATGAAAGAAAGAAGGAAAGAAAGAAGGAAAGAAAGAAAGAAAGAAAGAAAGAAAGAAAGAAAGAAAGAAAGAAAGAAAGAAAGAAAGAAAGAAAGAAAGAAAGAAAGAAAGAAAGAAAGAAAGAAAGGAAAGAAAGAAAGAAAGAAAGAAAGAAAGAAAGAAAGAAAGAAAGAAAGAAAGAAAGAAAGAAAGAAAGAAAGAAAGAAGGAAAGGTGAGTACTCTAGAAAATAAAAGAAAATTGTACTGATGGAGAATACACTGCCACCATGAAAGTTTCTCTGAATAACTCCATAGAATGATAATCTACTACATTTGCATTTCCGTATCATTTCTCCATGTTTACCATCATTTTTCTATGGCTTGCTTTCCCTGACTCCCAAATTATTCTCTTCCATACTCTCTTCCCTCCACAGACAACAGCACTGCTACTGTGAAATCTGTCAGGTGGATTATGGACAGGAAATCTGTCCATATGGGATGAACAGTCAGAGGGTACAGGGAAGAGTTTGTGCTATGGAAGGATTTGTCAATATTCACCTTCTATTTTTCTCCCATGAAATCAAGTTACAGGAATAATTAGGCCAATGGGAGATGCTCACAGATGAATCAGAAAACCCACCATGCAAAGGTTTACATACTCTTTTAAATCAACAGAGGTCTTCCAGTTTAAGCTTGGCTGCAATCTCTTAGTCATTTGACTCTTCTCAAAATCAATTTGGGTTTTCTCCAGTTTACTGATGTCTGAACCAGGTACAGTTTTCTGGGAGGTAGAGGGTTCTTCCTTCTGGGGTTTTTCATCAGTCTTGTTTTGTTGCTGCTCTTCATTGTTTTTACCCTCCTGTATAAAAGCATAAAGAGTAATTTTTTTTACAGTGGCATCACTTCTGAATCACCTAGTGCCATCTGAAGATTAAAACTGGTGATCAGTCCAGGAAAGGCTCAGATGCCTAAGGGAAACATACCTTCCTCCCTCCCGCCCCCCTCCCTCCTTTCCTATTCTTTCTTTTCCTTCCTTCCTTCCTTTCTTTCTTTCCTTCTTTCTTTCTTTCTTTCTTTCTTTCTTTTTATTTCTCTTTTTCTTCCTTCCTTCCTCTCTCCCATTCTCTTACTTTCCTTTCTTTGTTCTTTGTTTCTCTCTCCCTCCATGTACTCTTCCCTCCTTCCCAGTTACTAGGCCATGGGGCCATAGCTCCATTTCTGGCTTTTTGGTACTTAATTAGAGATAAGACTATAGCATATTTTTCTACCTAGGTTGTCTTTGAACCATGATTCTCAGATCCCAACCTCTTGAGTAGCTAGGCATGTTTTCCAGCTCCTGACTTGTGAAGGTAGTATTTTGAAAGGAAAAAAAATCTAAAAGAATGCTACCTTTACAAACATGAGCTATTTTACATTATTTTAAGAAAATGTTTACAGTTAAAATGAGTATCCAAAAACAGAAAAAAATCACTCTCAGATATTTAGACTACATAAAGTTATGTTCAACATTAACAACCAACTTGCAAAAGTCCAAACTTACCTGTTTAGACATACTTTCTGAAAATACTGTTGATTTGTCTTTTAAAAATTCGACAAGATCTTTGTAAATTTTACCTTTTCTCTCATAATCAATTTCTCCCTTTTCTTCTGTTTTGCCCTTTGGGAGAAAAAAATTTGGTGATGTGATTAAAATAGCAAGGTAAGAACTTGATCACTGATAACAAATCAAGCAGGCATATTCGCTTTTTCTCTAGCAGAGGCAGGGAGCATCTTGCCAGAGGCTCTTATGGTACATGGCAGGACCGACACGTATCTTCTCATCAGCTGCCTAGGGCCTAGGGCCCATCTGACTCTATCCATAATTTTGTATGGCCCTCAAATCCAGTTATGTCCTAATGGCCTTTGGCATAAAACATGTTCCTCAAACTGTGATGAATGAATGTTTGTCAATGAGATGCACAGGCTTAACTCTGAATCCATCCATCCATTCCTTCATCTACACATATCTACATACATGACCCTATCCATCCCTTCCTCTCTCTACCCATCCATTCCTTCTTACATTCATCTACCCATTCATCCACCCATCACTTCATCCATCCATTCATTCAGGACATAATAAGTACCTGCAGGCACACAGAGTTGTGCTATTCCACAGAGAAATGGGAACTCTTTTCTGTTTCTTCTACTGTGAGAACGCATTATGGCTTCATGAAGAGCCTCAGTGACATCATAAAAGGGCTCAAGATTAGAATCTCACCAGAGAAAAGCCTACTTCTGTTCACTGCACTCCGCACTTGTTCTGTGGGCAGTGTGGTTGCTCAAGGCTCATTTTCTACAGCGATCGTCTCTACAGATCAGGTATTCATCTACCTCTCTGCCTGTAACCCACTTCCTGCTCGATTATTTCCTTTTCATCCTTGTCCCTTTATTCTTTTTTTGTCCATCATTGGGCTTGAACTCAGGGCCTGGGAGGTGCCACTAAGGTTTTTCACCCAAGGCTAGCACTCTACCACTTTGAACCACAACTCTACTTCCGGCTTTTTTCTTCTTCTTTTTTGTTGGTTATGGGTCTTGAACTCTGGGCCTGGGCTGTCCCTGAGCTCTTCAGCTCAAGGCAAGCACTCTACCACTTGAGTGGACAGCACTACTTCCAGTTTTCTGGTGGTTAATTGGAGATGAGTCCCACAGACTTTCCTGTCTTGGCTGGCTTTGAACCATGCTCCTCAGATCTGAGTCTCCTGAGTAGCTAGGATTAAAAGGGTGAGCCAACAGAGCCCAGTTCTTTTAACTGTTTGGAAATAAATTTTAATTTTATTTTTTGTCATACTGAGCTGAGCTCAGGGATTCTCACTTGCCAAACAGGAGCTCTATCACTTGAAACTCAACTTCAACCCTTGTTTTCTCTGGTCATTTTTATAGGCTTTCCATTTTTGCTCAGGATAGATTTTTTTGTTTTGTTTTGTTTGCGTTTTGTCTGTCAGTCATGGGGCTTGAGCTCTGGGCCTGGGTACTGTCTAGCTCAAAGCGAACGCTCTACCACTTGAGCCACAGCGCCACTTCTAGTTTTCTGGTGGTTAATTGGAGATAAGAATTTCACGGACTTTCCTGCCTGGGCTGGCTTTGAATTGTGACCCTGAGATCTTAGCCTCCTGAGTAGCTAGGATTACAAGTGTGAGCCACTAGCACCCAGCTCAGGACAGTCTTGACTGCAATCCCCCTAATCCTCCTGCAAGTATGAATCTGTCATCTGGGATGGCAGATACATACCACCATACTGAATTTTTCAGTTGATATAGAGTCTCAGAATATTTACCATGTATTTATATATGTATTTATTTGGCCTGTATTGGTCTCAAACCATTATTCTCCCAATTTCCACCTCCAAATTAATTGGAATTGTAGGCATGAGCCACCAGCACCAGACCCCTACCTCATTATCCTACCATGAGAGATATTACGCGCGCGTGCACACACACACACACACACACACACACACACACACACACACACAAAACAGTTGTGCTTTCAACCATTTTGCAATTACCAAATCTTTTAATGATCTTTTAGTTTTTAAGCAGAAATTTCTCTACAAAGTTGTGTGCATATAAAACAAATAGCCTATGATGGAAACAAAACGATCTTTCCATAAGACAAATCACTCCTGGGCTGGGAAGGTGGCTCAGTGGTAGAGCGCTTGCCTTGCATGCCTGAGGCCTTGGGTTCAATTCCTCAGCACCACATAAGCAAAAAAAGAAAAAGAAAAATGCCAGAAGTGGCGCTGTGGCTCAAGTGGTAGAGCACTAGCCTTGGGCTGAAGAGCTGACAGCGCCCACGCCCAGAGTTCAGGCTCCATGACCCAACCCCCCCCCCAAAAAAAAAAAAAAAAAACCAAAAGACAAATCACTCCTTCTCCAGTTAGAAAGTTTATTTTTCTAAAATGTCCAAATAAGCTACAAAGCAGATTGATGGCCTCTTCCCTGTGCAGACATAAGGAAAGCTAAGTCCCAACAGAGGGAGCTACCTCTGCAGGTCATCACAGACACAGCATTTTGATGGCGACACAAGCCCAAATGGAGCATCTCCACCACTATGTCAGCTAGAATTCCTGCTAGAATTTTGCTTGGGTCTCAAGATTACAGTGAAGATCATGGGGACTGAGGTTGCAAAGGAGATCACTCAGCTCTTTCTGTCTAGTACCATGAATCTTAGTGACCCAGACTTGTGTGCTGCATATACTTCAGCTAGAAGACCATCCAGCTGGCGTCTGCTTGAACAGAATATCTTCTTTGCTAGGTCAGATTAGGCTGGGTCAACAGGAAGCTAAAGGAAGACTGAAGGCTGGCAGGTGAAGGAGGGGCACACTTCTGTTTATCAACCCCCACTCAGTCACCCCACCACAAGGGCAGTGCCAAGCCTTCCAAAAGCTACAGTAAGTTCCAATTCCCCAAGCCAAGAACCTTGCCCCTCAGCTGACCAGGGTCCCAGCTTCTAATGTTCTGTCCACTCTACCAGGATCCTCCTCTGAGCTCCCAAAGTACCAACACTAACTGGGAAGCATCCACTCCCACATCCCACCCCTATGCCCTGCCTCCTTGTGATTTGGCTATATCTACCCATCCCTTCAGGTCTCAGGGAGGGATTCTGTAGGCCTCTGTATCACTGCCTTTCTTTCCATTCCTAGAACTCATCCTTGAATTAATTGTAAATTATGCTGAAGATATTTTCATTTTCTATTTCCTCCCTGTTTTATGTGGGCTTGAGCTCAGGGTCTGAGCTCTTGTGCTCAAGGATAGCACTCTGCCACTTGAGCCATACCTCCACTTCCAGCTTTTTGGTGGTTAACTGACAATAAGAGTCTCAAGGATTTTCCTGGTCGTACTGACTTGGAACCATGAATCTCAGATATCAGCATCGTGGGTAGCTATGATTACAGATGTGTGCCACCAGCACCTGGCTGATGTTTTAGTTCTATAGAGTGGTATAGAAACTTATTTAAAACCCTTTTCTCTTTTCCTCTCTCTCTCTCCATCCCTCTCTCTCTCTCCCTCCCTCCCTCCTTCCCTCTCTCTCTCTCTCTCTCTCTCTCTCTCTCACACACACACACACACACACACACACACACACACACACACACACACACACACTTACTTGCTGTCTCTCTCATATGGTATGTGTGCCAGTACTGGGGCTGGCACTCTAGTCTTTTCTTGGCTATGTTTGCTCAAGCCTGCCACTTTACCACTTGACCTACAGCTCCACTTCTGGCTCTTTGGTGGTTAATTGGAGATAAGAGTCTCATGAACTTTCCTTCCCAGAGTTAAACTCAAACCATGATCCACAGATCTCAGACTCTTGAGTAGCTAGGATTACAGGTGTGAGCCACCTGCCCCCAACAGCTCCATTTCCTAGAAGACTGGCTTAATGACCAACAGCAAAGCCAATCCTCAGACAATGTGGGATTTGCCAGGCAAACACACAGCAAGGAAATCTGTGTCTGTTTCATAAACAGCCTCTGTGCTGAATGGTAACTAAAAATATCAGCAACAACAGTACAAGACACAACAAGTTTTTCTTACACAATTTTAATTAGCATCGTTAGTTGTTCAAGAGGAATTCATTGGGATGTGTTCATTTCTGTAGGCGATGTACCTGGAGCTGTTATCCTCTTGATTGTTTTTTCTCCTGCCCTCTACCCCCTTCCCAAACAAGTCTCATCAAGTTGCCTCATTACATTTTCATAAATGTATGTATATTAATATATTAATAATACTACCCCTCACCATCCATCTGCTCCCCTATCGCAAGTACCAATACATGTTACCTGTTCAAAGGGGCCTTATCATGGTATGTCACACATGCATGTACACACATTTAGTCTGATTGATAATTATACATACACACATGCATACACATGATCCTGTATGTGCTTATGTTTCTATTTTAAGTCTAACATTCATACATGAGAGAAGATTTGTGACCATTGTCCTTCGGAACCTGGTTTACTTCACTTAATATGATGGCTTTCAGAGCCACTCATTACCCTGCATGTTACATAATTTCATTTATCATGACTGAATACTATTTCATTGTGTATACATACCACATTTTCTTAATCCGTTCATCAGTTGTGGGCCAGGGGTCTTGTTTCCATAGCTTGGATAATTGTGAATAATGCTGTCATGGGTATGTGTGTTCACGTACCTCTATGTATTTGACTTACATTCCTTAGGCACATTTGTAAAAAAAAAAAAATAAGTAAATAAAAACAAAAAACCTACTTACGCCGTTTAAAAATACTCCTTCTGAGCTGCAAGTAACGCACAAAGTTTCCGCATCATGTGGCTTCACGAGCAGGTAGCATATTTCCCCAAGAATTTGCCTCCAAGGTGGAGCTCGACATCCATTTGAATATTCATAATCTGAAAGCGTCAAGGGTCAACAGGAGGCAACTTTAGAGTTCTGTAAAATGTGTTGGTTTCAATAAAATAAATATTGTCAAAATGCCACTCATGGAGAGCATGCAACTTGGGCATTTAAACTCAGGGTCTCACACTTGGTAGACAGGTACTCTACCACTTGAGCCATGCCCTTAACTAATTTCTGTGTTAGTGGCTTTTAAGATAGGGCTCCACATTTTTGCCCAGGCCCAGCCTCAGATCATAATCCTCTTACCTATGCCTATGGGATGATAGGGATGCGCCACCACAGCAAGCTTATTTGTTTAGCTGAGTAGAGGCTTGCTAACTTTTTGCCCAGGAAACCTCTAACATGTTCCCCACCTCTGCACTCCCCCCACATTGTTGGGATTACAGGCATGAGCCACTGCGCCTGGCCTAAGTTTTCATTTTCTTAAATATTTAGTTCAAATGGAACTATTGAAAGGATTTTGGAACTGTAATTATAAAAATACAAATAATATAAAACACATCTGGGAAGATGCAAACCTGAGGTATATTCGATAGATTCCAAGGCAGTATGGTCTCTTTTTCCTGAAACACTTTTCAGCAGTTCTATATCTTTCTTAACAGTCCCAGGGTTTAAGTGTGTTTCTCTGGAATATATGTTTAAAAATCAGTTTAAGTGCTTGAAAACAGAATATATCGGAATAAATAAGCATATTCCACCATCCTGGGGAGGTTAAAAAAATCAAGATTTTTCAACCTTTGTTATAAACTTTTAACAATATTGTCCAAACTTAAAGGAATTCCTTGTGAATGTAACATTATGTATACTTAGTCAAAAATTCATATCCTTCATTAATAATAATACCCAACTACCAGATACTAGAAAAAAGTGAACATATTTTGAACTACTCAAACTCTTATGGTATTTGGCCTTAAGAACTTTTGTAATCACGTTGACTCTTTGAAAATCCTCTGGCTTCAGAGTTAGATGAAATCTCATTACACCCTTTAAGCAATGTTAGCTGCAAGTTTTTGTTTTTGAAACTAGAACCAATAAATTTGTCAAAAATCAAAATCTTTGTTCCAGTAAAATGTAAATATTCTATAATAATATAATGTAATAATGTAACAATGTAGTAACTTCTGTATTGTTCTTGTGTTTTTGGCTTTGGGTTTATTTATTTATTGTTAGTTCTGGGCTTAAACTCAGGGCCTGGGTGCTGTTCCTGAGCTATTTTTGTTCAAGGCTAGCTCTGTAGTCACAGTCCCCTCTGGCTTCTTTTGGTGGTTAAATGGAGATAAAAGTCTCAAGGACTTTCTTTCTGGGCTAGCTTCGAACCGCAATCCGTACATCTGATCTGAGCCTACTGAGTAGTTAGGATTACAGCTGTGAGCCCACCAGTGCCCAACTTCTGTTTTGTTTGTTTTGGTCTTTTCTTTCTTTCAAAGGTTGAGAGCAATGCTTGTCACTACATGTGAAAGGTTTCCCGTATAAAGACTTACAGCTCAATGTGTTTGAGAGAGTGGTTGAGCAGGTGCAGATCGAGTTGCTTCAGTAGGATGGCAAGACTCATTTTAATCTGACTGTCCTCATTAGCACCTGTAATGGAGCCAATAATACTTAGGGCCGTGGATTCTTCCTTTACTGTACCATAATCTGCACCCAGAATTTTTACTACAGGGTCTCTGTTAGCTGAAAACAAACAAACAAACAAAAACAATAATCATTTGCCTCTTGTCTTCTAGTGGAACAAACACAAAGACTAAAAAATCTATTATAGTGCCTTCAAGGTGTTCCATTCACTTCCTTTGATTGGCCCAATACCAATTCATCTCTACTCCTGAGATTCTATTGTCCCTAGGAAACATTCTTAAACCATACCTTGTATATCATCTGTATGCTGCACCTACCCAATAGGATCAAGACCAAGAAGGCTCCACCTACCTTCCCTCCTGTCCTCCTTCTTTACAACCCTCCCGTCTCTCCTTCCCTCTTTTGCCCTTTCTTTCCTTCGGGAATAGTAGTATTTTTTCTTTTTCTTTTTGTCTCTTTTGGGTCTGGTCGTGGGGCCTGAACTCTGGGCCTGGGCGCTGTCCCTCAGCTCTTCAGCTCAAGGCTAGCACTCTACCACTTGAGCCACAGCGCCACTTCCGGCTTTTTTCTTTTTTCTTATGTGGTGCTGAGGAATCGAACCCAGGGTCTCATGCATGCAAGGCAAGCACTCTACCACTGAGCCACCTTCCCAGCCCCGTGAATAGTATTATACTTCTTTTCTTCCCTCCCTCCTTCCATCCTTTCTTTTCCTTCCTTGCTTCTCTCCTTCCTCCCCTTCCTCTTTTCCTCCTTTCTCTCCCACTTCACCCTCATTCTTCTCTTCACCCCTCCCCTCCCTTCTCTCACTTCCTCTCTCTCACTTCCTCCTTCCTTTCCCCCCCTTTCTCTTCCCTGCCTCCTTCCCTTTCTTTCCCCCTCTGCCATTTCCCTCCTTCCCATCCTTCCATCCTTCATTTCCTTCCCTTCCTTCTTTCATTTCCTTCCTTCCTTCCCCCTTTCCTCCCTTCTTTTTCTTAGCTATAATTATTCATAATAGACATTTAATTAATATATGCAGAATTGATTTAAAGATAGAAAAATACGCATCTCATTAGAGGAATCATCGTTCAAACTGTGTGCAAGTCTGTGTGTCTGTCTGTGTCTGTGTGTCCTGGCGCTCCATGTTCAGGAACACTTCCTTCCCTGAGCAGCAGGCTTCCCACAGCCTACAGGCCCACCCTAGCCTCTCCACCCATCTGTACCCTGCACACTCAAGGCCTCTGATGAGGTGTCTGGGAGACCAAATCTAATCACTATTACACTTGAACCAAAATATTTAAATACTAATTCCTGGATCAAGGCTGATCTAGATGTGCTATTTGAACCTAAAGACACTGAACAGAATGTGGTAAATGGTGAAGTTAATATAGTTCAAAGAGGGGAAGAACCTTGGAATGGAACAATGCAGGACTCATTCAGGAAGCATGCCTTGATTGAAATTATGGCCTTGTTCTCCCACAGAAATGGGTTATGGCACCAGAAAATTTCCTAAAAGCTCTTTCAGCAGGAAAGAGCTGTGGAGGGGGAAGGAAAGAACCCAAGAAATCAGCCATTTATCCGGCAGCTTTGTTTTCAACTTTATGGATATTATCTCAAATTTTTATTTAAAAAACACACATAGTAGGCCAGGCACGAGTAGCTCATTCCTGTAATCCTAGCTACTTGGAAGGCTGAGATCTGAGGATTGCGGTTTGAAGCCAGCTGGGGCAGGAAAGTCCGTGAGATTCTTGCCTCCAATTAATCACAGAAAAATCCAAAAGTAACGCTATGGTTCAGGAAGTAGAATGCTAGCCTTGAGCACAAAGGAGCTCAGGAACAGCACCTAAGCCCACAGTTTAAGTCCCAGGACCAACAAAAATAAATAAATAAATAAAACAAACAAAACACAAAGTGGATAAATTCTAGGGCAAGACAAAAAACCTGATTACTACATAGCCTCACGCAGATCACATGCAATGTGAATCTGAAAGCTAACTGGATCTTACAGGAAGGGAAAGTACAATACAAGATAAATGTTTATAGTAGTTTGCATATGTATTATGTCTCATCTCTTAATTATCATCACAAGTTCTGCTTTATGTCCAAGGTATCCTTCCTCAGGAAAGCAACTTGGATACGTATACAGCCAAAGAGCTGAGCATAGTAGCACATGCTTATGAAGACTGCAAGTTTGAAGCTGGTCTGGACTTTATAGTGAGTCCCTGTCTCCAAAAAATGAAGAGAAGTCATGAGCTAAAAAGAAGCTGCTGTTCTAAAATTGACATCTTAAACAAAAGTGAACATCTTCTCTCCTAACAGGAGAAATGGGTAGAATTCAGTACTTTATGCCTAGGATCCACTGGTCATGTTATCCTAAACACACAAAATGCATGCATACATTACTTAGATATTTCATGTGATCTTGTAGGCTACTGTCTGCTGGGTTTTCACAGAGCTAAGAAGGTTCTCTTGAAACACGTGCTATAATTAGAAATCCTAGTAATGGCAAGGGACTACTCTTTTCATTTGCAAGCAGAAATTTGATATGAGCCTAACAGTTCAGCCAAGGAACACGAAATACATTTTCATGAACAGGGTACCCGTGTTTTACCTTTCAGTTTTGTAGATATTTTGTCAAGAGACTGCAATAAATGCTCTTACCCAAGATCACATTTCTAAACGTTCAATTCCCAGGATGGAGGGTAAATATCACCTTCAATACATGCTCGAGCCTCCTCCAGCTGTGTATCTTGGGCAATTAGTAACAGTTGTGATAGTTGTCCAAAGCTTCTAACTTTAATCTGTGGTACACGCAGCTCTAATAAAGGCTGTCTATGCTGATCAACTTCTTCTGATTGGACCATTGTTTCACTAAAAAGCATGGTGGGGGGGAGAGTTGAAGTTCATTTACCAAGATGTCATGAAAGTTCAAGATCTCACACAGCTTGTTATTCTATTTCATTATAAAATACAAAAAATGTAAGTCCCTCTACACAGAATCTCAGTATTCCCTCCTGCTTTCATCCAAACTTGAATCCTTCAAGCTCACCTGCAGTTCTTGAGCAGTGGGCCATAACCAGAAAGAAAGTTTTAAGTTTCTATAATTCACAATGGAATTCAACTCATCAGCCTTCTTTAACAATGTGTTGGTTTCTGATACCCTTTTTTGTTTGTTTGTTTATTTGTCTGTTTCACACATCATTAGTTCTGTAGAACTTTCATTCTGGGGCAGAAGAAGTTGATATCTTATTCATAAAAAGTTTTACACCACAGTAGTTAGTGGTTAGGAGTTTTCTGGGCTACACTGTATTTATGAACCAAAACATTATGAAAACAGGCAAACTGGATCTTCTCTGTGGATTATTTGCCCCACCCTGGACTCTCTAATTTGGATATAATTAGGATAAGAAGCAGTTTTTCCTGAACAGAAATTATTGAGTCTTCTAGATTTGTATTTCTGTTCACTTTAATGATTCATTAAGTTGCCAGTGAAGATGCATGAAGATATTTTCATGGGAGTGGCATTTGTATGGATTTCTGTCATTTACAACATAAATTCAGTTGCCTAGGATTTTCTTTGTATTTTATGCCTTCATAAATCTTTCCTCATCTTAAGACCCAATCTGACATTACTTAAGTTGAAATTCAGGTAAGTAGATGTGAAATGTTTCTAGCTCATCAGGAAAAGTAAATTGGACAGATCTAAATCACTTGCTGTGGACACCATCTATATTACTAAGCTTTGGGTACTATAACAAAATACTCAAGGCAATCAATTTAAAAGGAGGAAAGGTTGATGTTGTGGTATAGTTACAGAGGTTTTAATATATAATCATTTGACCCTATTGCTCTGATACTTATCTCCAATTAACCACCACAAAGCCAGAAGTGGAGCTATGACTTATGTAGTAGAGAACCAACCTTGAGTGAAAAAGCTAAGGGTCAGTTCTCAGGTCTTAAGTTCAAGCTGCATTACCAACACACACACACACACACACACACACACACACACACACACAAAAGTATAAAATGAAAAACAGGTGTTGTTATCAAGTTTGTGGCAATTGGCTACAATGGTAATTGGAAGCTGTGATGGAGACTTTGTCAGACTGATACTGCTCACTACAGATAGATAATTGTTTAATCCCCCATACTTCAAACTGACTGCGTAGAAAAGATGCTTAATAGCTGAATGAATGAAATGGAATGCCTTGTGTTCAGAATGTATTCTTCTTCTTGATGCCCTTAGGATGGAGGAGATTTCTTAAAGGTGATTCACTTAAAAGGTTTGTCACTTATCCTAAATGGATGGTGACAGAATTGAGTTATATAGGCTGAATAAGTGTCAAAATTTTAAACTACTTAACAAGAAAATAAAACAAAGAACCGAGGGACACAGGTGACATGTTTCATTCTTCCTCTTGGTGAAGTTAAAGCCTCTGACTTGACAGAGAAGTCAAAACTGAAACTCCAACTGTAGGTGTTTTAAGATGATACAGAAGAGTTCCAGGCTCTCCATTTCTAACAGCTGAACAATTGGCTCTTGAAAAAATAAAATAGTGCACCCAACTTGAAGAGGTCAAGAAAAATATCTGCTAATGAGAGCCATTATCCATATGGAAAGGCTTTCAAACTGTATTGGGGGAGAAGGTTATAAAGCAAGAGATCAGCAAAGTATCTCTTCCCTTAAACCCCCAATGTCCAATTTGATGTCCTCAACATAGTAATTACTTAGTAAATGTATGTCTAAATAGTAACATAGGAAATAAAGATATGGTTAAGAAGCCAATTAGTATTCTTGGGAGGAAAAAAAAGAGCTTATTGCTTAGTAACAGGATTTATGTCAGGGCTGAGAGCATACCTCAGTGGTAGATCAGTTGTCTTTTATATTCATGGTCTGGATCACCAACAAAAATGAAGTCGTTTATAGCTAGTGATCTGACTACTGTCACCAAATACAAATTTTACCAAAAATATATTAATTGTCACAATACTCATATAGGCTAAGCTGAATCTTAAAGATCATGCAGATGAGCCTTTCATGGTACTTATCATAAAAACTAAGACCCAGAAAAGCATAGATTGTGCTTGAAGTATGTATTACTGTGGGGATGAAGGCTGTTGCTTGAGAGATTTCTTTCTATCCAGAACTCTTACCACTGTGTAACTATATTCAACCCATACATATCACTGAGACACACTAGAGTGAGATCTGAAAGAAATAAGCTAAGAATAGAGCAGACAGGATTTGAGAAACACAGTTCAACCAGAGGAGGAGAGAAAAGAATAAGAATGATTATCCAATTTATAAAATCCCCTAATTCCATTCCAGAAAATCCAAACGCCTGATCTCTCTGGAGCATCAGTGGATGGTTTAACCATTGAGCAATGTTGTTTCTCCTTTGTGTACAGGATTTGGCCTTTAATATGAGGTGTTCTAGGAAAATTATGGCTCCCATTTTTTCTGGTAATAACAAGAGCCAATGATAAATAAAATAAAAATGGCCAATGTTAAATAAAAAGAGATCTATGGGGTCTGCCAGTTACTGAGGAGGTAGAAAGAGAAGTATGTAATATGGGGCCAGCCCCAGGCAAAAATTCAAGACCCTACATAAACTAAAGCCAAAAGGGATGGGGGTAGAGCTGTAGTACTTACCCAACAAGCATGAGACTCTGAGTTCAAACTCCAGTATTGACAAAAAGACACACACACACATACACACACACATTTAATTTTTTAATTTAATTTTTGTGAAAACAAGAAAAGTGGTTTTCCAAAAAAAATTAAAGTTAGAGAAGAGAACAGATGTCCCTACAGAGTAAACAGAGAAGGCATGATTCTAGCAGAAAAGATCAATTGTGCAAAATGTAGAAGGTGCTGTGCCAGTTTACTGAGTTAATAACCCTCTACACAAAGGAAAGAAGAAGGCTGATGAAATAGAAAACCTTTTCAGTATGGGAACAAAGGAGAGGTTTCAAGTATCAGATGCTAATTAGCCTAGTCCAGAAGAAGGCTGGTCAAACTTCCATGGGCTCTGCAGAAAATACATGTGGTGACATACAGCTTCAAGTGAAAAGGGAGGGCCCAAATATACTTATATTCCCATCCCCATGTGCAGAGACCAACACTACTACACTACAACACTACTCCACAGAGACAAGATAGGTAATACTGACTTCTTTTAGAACAAGATGTGAGATAAAGTATTTATACAAGAACTACTGTCCATTTTCATTCTAAATCAACCAAGTACATTGTGAAACCCTTTTCTCCTTTTAAATTGATCATCTTATGTAATTTGTCATAGTGGCAGAAAGATGGTTGACATTCTAGATGGAATAAACACAAAATGGCTGGAGGCTGCGGAATATTCTTTGGTCTGATGCATAGAACATAAGATATGGTTAAGACCTGGGAGTAAAAATAACATTTGTAATTTTCTACTATGACCCAAATGTCAACTGTACCCTTTGCCTTTTTTAAGGCAATCAGGGCCAGATGCCTGTGGCTCATGCCTGTAATCCTAGCAACTGAGGAGTCTGAGATCTGAGTATCTCAGTTCAAAACCAGACAAGGCAGACAAATCTGAAAGACTCTTACTTCCAATCAACAACCAAAATGCCAGAAGTGGAGGTGTGGCTCAAATGGTAGAGTGCCAGCCTTGAATGGAGGAAGCGAAGCAAGAGTGCAAGGCCCTGAGTTCAAGACCTAGTATGGGTACATACCCAAACACACAAAATGGTAATTAATATCTATCTGGTTTTTTACCCGAGCCACACAGCATGATTTATTTTCAGATAAGTGATTCTACCAAAACCATCATCTCTTCCAATAGAAAAAAAATATCATCAATATAGGTCAGAAGCAAAAATAAGAGAAAATTTTCCCAAAGGAAAAGCTACATAGTAAATTGAACAGAAATAAAAACAATCCAGGAATAGTTGTTCCAAAATGCACATATCAAAATGTCAAATATTTCTTGCTTAGAAGTAAATAGCATGCATAAAAGACTCTATGGTTAATCTTAGCTACATGGGAGACAGAGAACATGAGGATTGTGGTTCAATGTCAGTGTGGGCACAAATTTGTGAGACTCCCAATTCAACCCTGGACACAGTAGGATGCACCTGTCATCTCAGCTATTTAGAAGAAATGAGATCAAGAAGGGTTTCAGTTCCAAGTCAGCTCAATTTTAAAAGTTCACAGGACTCAGTCATCTCAACAGAAAAAACTAGGAGTGTTGGTGTATGTCTGTCATCCTAGCCACAGTGGAAAATGTAAATATAGAAAGATAGAGGCCCAAATCAACCCAGGCAAAAGTGAGATATTATCTAAAAAACAACTACAGAAAATTTGTTAGAGGCAAAGATCAAGCAATAGAGCACTTGCCTAGCAAGCACCAAGTCCTAAATTCAAACTCCAGTGTTGCAACAAAAAAGGGAGTAAGTTGGGCACTGGGGACTCATGCCTATAATCCTAGCTACTCAGGAGGCTGAGATCTGAGGATTGTGGTTAAAAGTCAGCCTGGGCAGGAAAGTCTCTGAGACAAGATCTTATCTCCAATTAAACACCAATAAAGGAAAAAGTGGCGCTGTGGCTCAAAGTAGTAGAGCACTAGTCTTGAGCAAAAATGCTCAGGGACAGCACCAAGGTGCTGAGTTCAAGTCCCAGGACTGGCACAGAGAGAGAGAGAGAGAAAGACAGGACAGTGAGACAGAGTGAAATAGGAGGGAGAGGGAGGAACTCTATCTAGATACTACATATGGAAATAAAGCAAAATATTCTTCAACAAGTAGCCAAGCACCAGTACTCACACCTATAATCCTAGCTGCTTAGAAAGTTGAGATCTGGAAGATCACATTTTAAAGCCAACCTAGCCAAAAGTGTATTCAAGGTTCAAATAATCAGCAAAATGCCAGACTGAAAGCATGGAACAAATGGTAGAGCAACAGCATGAGCAGAAAATCCCAAATAGTACTTGGCCCTGGACCCTGGAGTTCAAGTCCAGGTATATATGCAAAGACAGAGAGAAAGGGAGGAGAGTGAAAGGGCATTTGGACAAATATAGAAAAAGAAAAGCAATGACACATTTGAGGAGTGGCCCCACCTGACAAGGAGGCAGATGTGATCATGTTTGTACTTGGAACATAAAATTAGTCCAGAAGCCAGACACAATGACAACGTTGATTTTCTTTTCTGTCATCTGCTTTAATCTTTGTACAAAATAGTTAATGTTTCAAATTGATTTTGCAGATGAGCTCATCTTTCAAAGGTTAAAAAAAAGAAAGCTGGAACCAGGTAGAAGCAGTAGAAACTGGGGTAATCATCCAGAAAGGACAAACACTTGGGGAAAAGTGACCCACAGCAGAGTGACACAGAAATTGACCATTAAAAATACTTCCGAGGGGCTGGGAAGGTGGCTTAGTGGTAGAGCACTTGCCTTGCAAGCATGAGGCTCTGGGTTTGATTCCTCAGCACCACATAAGCAAAAAGAAAAAAGCCAGAAGTGGCGCTGTGGCTCAAGTGGTAGAGCGCTAGCCTTGAGCTGAAGAGCTGAGGGACAGCACCCAGGCCCAGAGTTCAGGCCCCACGACTGGACCCCCCCCCCAAAAAAAAAAATACTTCTGAAAGTCAGAGGGAAGAAAGATCAGTGAAAGAACTAATCAGCTCTTAGATGGAATAATTTCATTGGTCTAAAGATGAGACTTCCCTTGGGAATTGGTTTTGATGAGGTCAGACGTGTGTGTGTGTGTGTGTGTGTGTGTGTGTGTGTGTGTGTGTGTGTGTGCGCGCGTGCTCAGAGCCACAGTGCCAGTTCCAGCTTTTTCTGTTTATATGGTATTGAGGAATCGAACCCAGGGATTCATGTATGCTAGGCAGGCACTCTACCACTAAGCCACATTCCCAGCCCTGCTTGCTTATTTTTAATTACAATGTATAGTGATAGATTACTATATCTAATTATACTATGTAATTATATATGTAGATACATATTTATTTTTATCATTTTATTTATTATGTTTATAGATGTATATTATATAGATATATAATAAGAACATATATAGATACATATTATACATACCTAGAGATATATACATTTATATAACCTATGTATGTACATATATCTAGATATAGACATATTTGTAAAAGGTAAGTTGATATCCCACTCTTTGAAGGGGTGGTCGGATCTTTTTTATCTCAGCTTTGAAGGATTTTCATTTGAAGTCAGAACTGATGGTGAGGGAGTCTCTTAAGGTCCAGGGATGTAGTTGATGGTAAAGTACTGGCCTACTATGTGCAAGACACTGGTTTCAATGCCAAATTAATTGATCAGAATTCACCATTCTGAGGCTGGGAAGGTGGCTCAGTGGTAAAGTCCTTGCTTTGGGTTCAATTCCTCAGCACCACATAAGCAGAAAAAGCCAGAAGTGGCAAAAAAAAAAAAAAAAAAAGAGGATTCACTATTCTTCCCCTACCCCAGGTCCCTCCAGGAAATGAGAGATTTGAACCCTGGAAGAATTTTTAGCTACTTCAGAAGTCACAAACCCCTCGGAAGTGGTGCTGTGGCTGAAGTGGTAGAGTACTAGCCTTGAGCTGAAGAGCTGAGGGACAGCACTTGGGCCCAGAGTTCAAGTCCCTTGACCAACAAAAAAAAAAGAAAAGAAAAGAAAAATATCTGAAGAAAAGAAATGTACTCATTACCTTGCTCATGTGATTGTAACCCCTCTGTACAGTATTTTCACAATAAAAAACTTATTTAAAAAAAGAAGTTACAAAACCAGAGACTATTGATTGTCCAGAAGGTTATATGGTTGGTAAAAGGCCAAGAGTAAGTAAGCAAAGAATGCTGGAATGGTGGCCTAGTGAATATATCCTCTCTCAAAAGAAAATGAAATTTAAATTTCAAAATTAGGTATGTTGACCAAGCGCAGCCCCCTCAGATTTCATCTGATCACCTCCACTTTGCAATCCCTGAGTTCAACGCAGTGTAGAGGATATCTGAGATTCAGAGGCTTAGAGACTCACCCCAAACCCGCATCAATTCATGAGAATACATACAATGGTGATGTTCAATTCTAGAAGCAATTAAGTGGCTTACCTGACAATATAACCTGTGTTAAACACTGAGGGCTCCAACTTGGTTTTCCATTCAAGTGGTTCTACAAAAACAAACTTGGCCTCGTGGGGATGTTTAACAATAAACATCTCCACAAACTTAGTAATTTCTTTCAATATCGATTCATTCAGAGGGGTGGTCTCTAGGGTTCCAGTCCCAAATTCGGCCGCCTTCCACTGGGCAGACTTGGCCAGTGCCACACCCATGGGACCAGCTAATGCTCCAATCCGAGCTCCGTATGCACTACAGAAAAGCAGAAACGATGAGAGAGAAACATACCTTTCACATTTTCCCTGCCACTGTTTTCACTTTTAAGACTTTGTTCTTAGTCAACCCACATGCTACTTTTAAAAAACTTTAATGTTATTATCGTCAAATAGTTGTGCAAACGGGTTTCAGTTTTTGAGCACAATGCATTTTCATCAGTGTACCCCTTTCACCCTTCTTTCCCATCTGCCCACTACCACCCATCCTTTCCATTTTTCTAGTTCCATTTTCACACACACACACACACACTCATATGCATTAACTGTTATGGTTTCATTCTCCCACCCTTCTATATTCTGCTTTGTAATCTTGGAAATTAACTTTTTTGTATATGCCAGTCCTGGAGCTTGAGCTCCGGGCCAGCTGTCCCTCAGCTTTTGTGCTCAAGGTTAGTGCTCTATTACTTGAGCCACACTCCTCCTCCTCCTCCTCCTCCTCCTCCTCCTCCTCCTCCTCCTCCTCCTCCTCTTCCTCTTCCTCTTCCTCTTCTTCTTCTTCTTCTTCTTCTTCTTCTTCCTCTTCCTCTTCCTCTTCCTCTTCCTCTTCTTCTTCTTCTTCTTCTCCTCCTCCTCCTCCTCCTCTTTTCTCCTTCCTCCTCTTCCTCCTCCTCCTCCTCCTCCTCCTCCTCTTCCTCCTCCTCTCCTCCTCCTCCTCCTCCTCCTTCTTCTTTTCTCCTCCTCCTCTTCCTCCTCCACTCCTCCTCTTCCTCCCCTACTCCTTCTCGTCCTCCTCCTCCTCCTACTCCTTCTTCTTCTTTTCTCCTCCTCCTCTTCCTCCCCTCCTCCTCCTCCTCCTCCTCCTCCTCTTCCTTCTCCTCCTCCTCCTCCTCCTCTTCCTTCTCCTCCTCCTCCTCCTCCTCCTTCTTATTCTTCATCTTCTTTGTCTTCTTCTTCTGTAGTTTATTGGAGAGTCGAATGTTCCTGTGCAAGCTTCAAAAGTGATCCTCAAACCTCAGCCTCCTGAGCTAGGATTACAGGCATAAGCCACTGGCATCTAACTTTGGAGATGAATGTTTAAAACTACCTGGTGGCTCATTAAGCAATAAAAGAGTAAATCAATTCCAATATAAGAATATAAGGATTTTCCAATTTCTGCCTGCTATTCTATAGCTAATAACATCTGATTTCCTCAAGCCTAAGAAAGATAATTCAGACATGGGGAGGGGGAACCCAAACAGAAAACTGCAGAGTTCAAAAAAGAATTGAAGGAGATTAGCAGCCAGGGCCTTGGTCACAGTTCTGCTAGGGGCTGGGCATTAGGTGGAAAAACCTTTGATCGGCTATTAAACTATTATGCTATTAAACTATATGCTATTAAACTGAATAGTTATTCTCACTTTCTTAGAGATCATATGAGAATCAGGGCAATGGTGACAGAAGAACATATTTCTGAACTTTAATTAAGTTCCCCACATGCCTTCTAAATTAATAAGAAATGGGATTTTCTAAATTACTACAAAATGGAGAAAGAATATGATTGTGAACTATAATTTGAATTTTTGTTGAAAATTTATATAGAAATACTAAGCCAATTACCAGAATATCTGGAGAGAAAATAATCAGTGTTCTTTCCCCATATATGTTATTCAGAATAGAAGTCTTTTATAGTACTTTTCAGTTTTTTTAAGAGCATATTCTGTTTTCTCAAATGAAAGATATAAAAATAAGCAAGAGTTTTGTGAGACCCTTTGAATTAGTTATCAAAATAATCTAGCAATCTTTAAAACAAATTCAAATAAAACTAATTTCACTTTGGCTAAACAGAATTTAAAAGGCTATCTTTAAAATATACCATCATTTACAACATTACATAAGAACCAAAATAGAAAAGAATTTCTTATATTAATATCTAATTGATATCCTTTTCAAATAATCTGTACTTGTTTGCTTTCTCATTTCTAGTAATACTGAAAACCTTCCTTCTAGAATATTAGATGAATGGTTATAGAGTTAAATGGAGACTTTTATGACCATAATTAGTACAAATCTCAGAAGTACACAGTTTAACAGAAATGAAATAGAGATTATACTTTCTGTATAATTATTGAAACTGTATCAATTATTGAACCCCAACCACAGGATTTAAGTAGACCCCTATAGATGATGTTTCCTGCTGGGAGCAGAATAGGACTATTATACAGATAGCTAATTACCAAGGGGATAGTAAGAAAACATCGTTAGCATTTAGAGATGAGACTAAAAATACATGATGTCTTTCTGTGCAGGACAATATTCTAGCAGGAGCATGTGTCTAGACATCTGGCGGTGAGCAACTTCAACCTACAACTTTCCTACACTTTACAAAACTCACCAAGTATTTCTCCACTCTTGCAGTACATACTGAATTTTCTAGGATTGTAATTATCATTTTAAAGAGAAGGATGGCAGTAGATATTTCATTTTACATGCAACTTCATAAAGCTTAGCATTTTAGAAAACATGCTGTGGATGACAAAGCTATTCACAAATTTAAGTTGCAATGACGTGTCTGTTGGCCTGCATCTGGGGCAGCTGTGTTCATGGTAATTCTGTGTAAAGCCAGACCATCTGGTAACTTCCTTATATGTTCTATTATAGTGGTACCTAAACATTACAAGTATTTTCCTTTACTTCATAACTACATAAATATAAATATTTAAAACCATTATATATGTAGCATGATTATCTGCAATCTGAATTTCAGAATAGCATAAACTGTCATTACAAAATGTTTGTTATAAAAACCAAGTGTTGGATCAGATAGAGCAACTGATCTAGAAATATAAAGAATAGAGATAAGTACTAGTGAAAAATGTACATAATTCATGTACACAATTTCCTCAATTTCTATTTTTTAATTTACTTTTTTCTGAACTTCAAAAGGTTGTACAAGGGAGTTACAATTTAATGGGTCTGGCCAATTGTCCAGTGCTTCCTGTGCAATTACCTTTTCTGTCATTGTTCCTGTCTGTTCCCTCTGAGCTTTTATTGTTAATCTTTTTTAAATGCCTTAGGTTCTAACATGGACTTACATACTGACACATATGTGACACTTGGGTTTCCCACTGTTACAAGAATAGACATAAATGATGAATACCTGTAAGAAGTTTTATTGTATACAGACGTGCTTAGGTGGACAGCTCTGTCTGTTTTTAATTTTAAGATCTTATAGTGTTCCTTTTTAAGGAAAAAAATGTGAAATTGCATAGATGACGTGAGATTGTCAGCATAACATATAGAGACTTCTTAGGAGACACTTTGAAAAACTGAAAATATGGCGGGAGAGGTTAATTTGTTCAAAGTGCACAGTGTGTGTGTGGAAATATTGTAAATGTGTGTTCATTTTTTAAAAAGGAAAAGAAAGCTTAAACATACAAAGAGCTTTTTTTTGACATGAGACATTTTATAGAGGTAGAAATGCAACTTACATTTGAATTTATTCAAATTAATATTCTAAGTCAAGTGATGCAGATCAGCAGAAGTGGACAGGCTTTCTCCAAAAGGCTTAGCAGAAACGCTAAAAAGCCTTTACAGGGCCTACAGCAATCAGGAAGGTAAGGACAGAATTATTAGTAGATAAATAATTAATGATGCTGGGTCTTTGGAATTCAGGTCAAACTTTTCAGAAAAAAATAAAACAGCTTATAGTGAAAACATTAAAACACATGGCACATTTGAATTGAAGTAAAATTCTAAAAGCAAAAGTTCAAAGAGACACAGCGGTTGTGGTGTGTTTACACAAACGGAGAATCACCAAGCCCTCATTCTTTTTTTTCCTCTTCTCAATCTAAAAGGTAAAATCTTGTTTTTTTTTCTTTTTACACATCCGTCTCAAGCTTACATTATTATTAATAAAAATGAAACTCACTGGAGAATAATTTCTTTAACATTTGAACAAGAGCAAAACGAAATTCTTTAAGAGGCCATGGAAATGTTGGGCCTCCTTCCCAAGATCTCAAAATGTGGCTGGTCCGATCAGTAACCTGCTTTGTGGGCAAGAAGCCCCTACAGATTAGATAGATAGATAGATAGATAGATAGATAGATAGATAGATAGATAGATAGATAGAGATAATAGACGGACAGACAGACCTACAGAGAGACAGACAGATAGATGATAGACAGATAGATAGATAGATAGATAGATAGATAGATAGATAGATAGATAGATAGATAGATAGATAGATAGATAGATAATAGACGGACAGACAGACCTACAGAGAGACAGACAGATAGATGATAGATAGACAGATAGATAGATAGATAGACAGATAGATAGATAGATAGATAGATAGATAGATAGATAGATAGATAGACAGATAATAGACGGACAGAAAGACAGACCTACAGAGAGACAGACACACAGACAGACAGACAGATAGATAGAATGAATGAATGAATCTCAGCTTCTGCTCTGACGGGATCAAACCTGTGAGCTGGTGGTGCGGCTGCAGGCTCAGGCTGCGGGAAGCCTGGGGACGCGGCAGATCCAGTGGAGATCTGGAGGCTGAGCTCCGTGGAGAAGTTCAGGAAGGCAGGGGATAGCCGGGCACGGGGAGGAGGAAAGGTGGCTTGGATCGCCAAAGCCGGGGGTCCCTGGGCGGCCTGAGATCGCCGGAGCCGGGGGTCCCCGGGCCCCAGGCCGAGATGGAGCGGGCGTGAGAGATGCGCACTGGGCGATGTCAGGGCCGGGACGCAGAGAGAGGAATCCAAGCCAGGTGCTCCCCGCAGCGCACACACCTGCGCAGCCCCCACCCCGCAGGCGCCGCCGCCCCGGGCCGCACTCACCTGCCCGCCGCCGGCCCGCCGCACACCGCACCGCGCGTCCCGCCGGTTGCTAGGACGCCAGTAAACACGGGGGCGCCGGGACGCAGCGCCCGCGGGCCGCCGGCCTCCACCCGCTCCCCCTTCCCTCCGGGACCCCCTGGTGACCCCGCAGTCTCCGGATCCGCTCCCTCCGGG